AGAAAGGCTTTAATTTCTTTCTTTATTTCTTCCCTGACCCAGCTGTCATTTAGTAACAAGTTGTTTAGTTTCCATGTGTGTGTAGGCTTTTTTCTATTTCTGTTGTTGTTGAAGTCCAGCTTTATTCCATGGTGATCAGACAGGATACAAGGGATTATTTCAGTCTTCTTGTATCTGTTGAGGCTTGCTTTGTGACCAAATATATGGTCTATTTTGGAGAAGGTTCCATGAGGTGCTGAGAAGAAGGTAAATTCTTTTGTGTTTGGGTGTAAAGTTCTGTAAATGTCTGTGAGGTCCATTTGATTCATGACCTCTGTCAGAGATATTGTTTCTTTGTTTAATTTCTATTTTGTTGACCTGTCCTTTGTTGAGAGTGGGGTGTTGAAGTCTCCCACTATTAATGTGTGGGGATCTGTATGTGGTTTAAATTTTATCAATGTTTCTTTTACAAATGTAGGTGCTCTTGTATTTGGGGCATAGATGTTCAGGATTGTGATGTCTTCCTGGTGGAAGTGAGTATGAAGTGTCCTTCCTCATCTCTTTTTATTAATTTTGGTTGAAAGTCTATTTTATCAGATATTAGAATGGCTACTCCTGCTTGTTTCTTGGGTCCATTTGCTTGGAAAGTCATCTTCCAACCTTTTACCCTCAGGTAATGTCTATCTTTGTGCCTTAGGTGTGTTTCTTGTATGCAACAGATTGCTGGGTTTTGTTTATGTATCCATTCTGTTAATCTCTGTCTTTTTTACTGGAGAGTTGAGTCCATTGATGTTGAGAGAGATTAATGACCAGTGGCTATTAGATCCTTTGATTTTGATGTTGGCTGTGTTCATAAGGTTGTGTGCTTGGTTGCTTTTTGTTTTACTGTAGTAAGGTTAATTATTTCCTGTGTTTTCTTGACAGAAGCTAATTTTCTTGGGTTGTATTTTCCCTTCCAGTGTCTTCTGTAATGCTGGATTTGTGTGTAGGTATTGTTGAAATTTGTTTTTGTCATTGAATATCTTGTTTTCTCCGTCTATGAGGACTGAGAGTTTTGCAGGGTATAGTAGCCTGGGCTGACATCTGTGTTCTCTTAGGGTCTGCATGATATCTGTCCAGGCCCTTCTGGCTTTCATAGTTTCTGTTGAAAAGTCAGGTGTGATTCTAATGGGTTTGCCATTACATGTTACTTGGCCTTTTTCCCTTGCAGCTTTTAGTATTTTTTTCTTTGTTCTGTATACTTATTGTTTTGATTATTATGTGGAGGGAGGATTTTCTTTTCTGGTCAAATTTGTTGGGTGTTCTGTAGGTCTCTTGTATCCTTATTGGCTTCTCCTTTAACTTGGGGAAATTTTCTTCAATTATTTTGTTGAAAAGATTTTCTGGGCCTTGGAGAAGGGAGTCTTCTTTTTCCTCTATTCCTATTATTCTTAGGTTTTGTCTTTTCATATTGTCTTGGATTTCTTGGACGGTTTGTGTCAGGAATTTTTTGAATGTAACATTTTCTTTGACAGATACATCGATTTCTTCCATTGTATCTTCTACACCTGAGATTCTTTCTTCCATTTCTTGTATTCTGTTGGTTATGCTTACCTCTGTAGTTCCTGTTTTCTTCCCTAAATTCTTCCTCTCCATTATTTCCTCCATTTCTGTTTTCTTTAATTTTTCTAGTTCTATCTTCAGGTCTTGAGTTGTTTTGTTTACTTCCTTCACCTGTCTGCTTGTATTTTCCTCTTTTTCTTTTAGTTCCTTCAACTCTGTCTCTTTTATTTCTTTCAGTGATTTAATTATTTCTTCTCTGAAGGCCACAAGCTGTTTGGCTGCTTCTTCCCGTATTTCTTCACAGATGGCCCTAATCTGCTTGTCTTTATCTTCCTCCATTTCTTTACGAATAGCCATGATCTGTTTGGTTTTATCTTCCTCTAATTCTTTATGTATTTTATTTGTTTCCCCTATTACATTCTTCATCAGCATAGATGTAAGGTCATCTTCTTGATTTTCTATTATGCTGCATTGTCCAGGGCTGTTCGCCCCTGGATGGCTGGGTTCTGGAGATGCCATATTGCTCTGTCTTTTGTTGGTTGAGCTTTTACACTGACCTCTATCCATTGGGCTGTTTTAGGTGTTGGCTGTTAGTTTCTGTGCTTCCTGGAGTCCTGAGGTAGGGAGAATCCCCTTGGCTGGAAGATGATTTTTCTTGAAGGAGTCCTCCTCTGCTTTTTGGTTATGGTCACTGTATGGCCAGTGTTTCTCAGGAATTGCCACTGCTCACCTCAGGTTTATAGGCCTGAATAGTAGCTGTGGTCTATGTTAGGCTTGGGGGGAATCTCCTCTTACCCATAGAAGTTCTCAAGACAGCTGCCCCACTGCTGGGTTTCTTGTTATAAATTTAGTGTGCAGTCCTCTTGAAGAATTTCCAGGTACAGTCCTCTTGAAGAACCTGCTGATTCCCTAGCTGTGGGTTTTCTCCCAACAGGGAAACTCAGTCTGTTATCCTGGGGCACACAGTTCTGTCCGGGAAAGTGAGAGGTGCACTCAGCAAGTCTCTGGGCCAGAGGCTGAGTCTCCGCTCTGGGCCTGGAGAATGTGCACCTAGGTTGAGTTGGCGCCTGGGGGCGCTGCTCTGGTCTGGAGGCTGGGTGCCTCACTCTGGACCAGAAGCTGTGTGTCCCTGTCTGGGATGGCGGCTGCAGGCACTGCTCTGGTCCAGACACTGTGGGTGCAGCCCTCTTGAAGGACCAGGGATTCCCACAGTTGTGACAGTCTAGCTAGGGATAAGTGGTTGATCCTTGGCACAGTATCTGAGGGCTGCTGTAATGGCTCTCTGGCTTTTGTAGGTCTGAGGATGCAGCTGTGTGTCCCAGTGCCCTAGGGGAACTCAATAATCGCGGCTGAGCACAGAGCTCCTGCCTGCATTAGAGCCTAGAGTCTGCGTGAGTCCAGGAAGTGTTTTGGTGCTGGGTGTCCTAAGCGTTAGAGCTGATGATTCCCTCTGCTGGGGGTTTCCTCCTGCCAGACACACCCAGTCTTTGCTTTGGGGACCGCTGTTCTGACTGGGGTGGCGAGTAGAACCCACAGGCACAGATGCCCGCTTGTGGCTCCGCCTTTCTGGCCGTTCAGAGCCTTGGCTGCTGCCTAAATTGGGTTATTTTTCCCTAGTCCTTTTCAGGGTGGGGGTGTCGGCTGAGAGCTCTGAGATCAGACCAGCCGTTTCCCTCCCTGTGGGTTTGCACCTGCCAGTGAAACGCAGTCTCTGGTGCCTGGTGCCCTGGTGCCCACAGTTCTATCTGAGGCGGCGAATCAGGCGCGCAAGCAGGGCTCCGTGCAGGCGCCTGGGTCCTGGCTCTGGCTCTGGGCCGGCTCCTGGGGCACCCGCGAAACCCGAGTCTTTTCCAGGGGATGTCTGGGTAACCTGAGGTCGGTCCCAATCATTTCCTGCTCTGTGGGGTTATCTCTCGACTGGGAAATCCAGTCTATGGTGTTGTGGGCCCACAGTTCAGTCTGGGACCGTGACCAGATCGCGCTGGCGGGTAGCTCTGGGCTGGCGACCAAGCGCCTGGCGGAACCGGGATCTCTTCCGTGGTTTAGCCGGGTGAGTTAAAGCTGATTGAATCCCCCAACATGGGGTATCCTCTCACCTGTGAAACACAATCACTTGTGTTTTATGGCCGCGAGTTCTGATTGCTGGTCACTGTGTCAATCCTGCTGTGCTGCTCCTCAGAATGAGAGTCCTCCCGGTGCCGCCATCTTGCCCCGCCCCCTTATTTTTATTTTTTATATTAACTACAGTTTATTTACTTTGTATCCCAGCTGTAGCCCCCACCCTCATTCCCTCCCAATCCCATCCTCCCTCCCTCATCTACTCCATGCCCTTCTCTAAGTCCACTGGTAGAGGAGGTCCTCCTCCCCTTCCATCTGACTCTAGTTTATCAGATCTCATCAGGACTGGATACAATGTCCTCCTCTGTGGCCTACCAAGGCTGCTCTTCCCTCGGGGGAGCGGGGAGGTCAAAGAGCCCACCACTGAGTTCATGTCAGAAACAGTCCTTGTTCCCCTTACTAGGAAACCCACTTGGATGCTAAGCTGCCATAGGCTACATCTGAGCAAGGGTTCTAGGTTATATCCATGCATGGTCCTTGGTTGGAGAATCAGTCTCAGAAAAGACCCCTGGGCCCGGATATATTTGGTTCTTGTGGTGCTCCTGTCCTCTCCAGGTCTTATTAGCTCCCCCTTCTTTCATATGATTCCCTGCACTCTGCCCAAGGTTTGGTTATGAGTCTCAGCATCTGCTTTCATACACTGCTAGGTAGAGTCTTTCAAAGGCCCTCTATGGTAGGCTCCTGTCCTGTTTCTTGTTTTCTCCTACTTCCAATATCCATCCCATTTGTCTTTCTAAGTGAGGGTTGATCATCTTACCCCAAGACCTCCTTCTTGTTTTGCTTCTTTAGGTGTTCAGATTTTAGTATGTTTATCCTATCTTATAGGTCTAGTATCCACTTATTAGTGAGTATATACCATGTGTGTCTTTCTGCTTCTGGGATACCTTACTCAGGACTAACTTTTCTAGATCCCACCATTTGCCTGCAAAGTTCATGATTTCCTTATTTTTAATTGCTGAGTATTATTCCATGTGTAAAAGTACCTCAGTTTCATTCCATTCCTCCGTTGAGGGACATCTAGGTAATTTCCAAGTTCTGGCTATTACGAATAAAACTGCTACAGAACACTTAAAGAAATGTTCAGTGTCCTTAGCCATCAGGGAGATGCAAATTGAAACGACCATGAGACCTTACACCCATCAGAATGGCTAAGATAAAAAACTCAAATGACAACACATGCTGGAAAGGTTATGGAGAAAGAGGAACCCTCCTCCATTGCTGGTGGGAATGTAAACTTGTACAAACACTTTGGAAATGAATCTGGCGCTTTCTCAGACAATTAGGAATAGTACTTCCTCAAGATCCAGCTATACCACTCGTAGGCATATATCCAAAAGATGCTCAAGCAAACAATAAGGCATACCCCCTGGCAAAAGGCAAAGAGACACCTTATTAGGGTTGTCATTCTTATATCAGTCAGGAGCAGAGCAGATGGCAGTATTTTGTTCATCCTAGCTTGATGCCTGGGTTGATGGCCAAAGATGTTTTATGACTAGGACATAAAAATCAAATCAAATCCAGGTAGTACAGCACAGGAGTAGGAAGACAGACAGAAACATGTATTTTGCCATGCTATGAGGTACAGATGAGGGAAGATGCTCACAGACCTGCCCCCCACCCCACAACATGCACAAGCCATAGACACTCAGAGCCCCACCTGCCACCACTCAGAGCAGCCAGAAGAAGAAAGACAGATAGAGACCTGCTAACAACCATGCCACCCACAGATCTGAACTCTGGCACATGACACAGGTGAAACCATAGACACCCACTTGCCTGCTTGCTGGAGGATGTCACCCAGTGGCCCACCAGCTGTGTGGCCACCCTTCATCGAGAGCCACCACAATGTGTGAGTATGTGGTAGATAGATAGGAGAGAGAAAGAATTAGAGCAGCTTGAGCATTATGAAGAGAGATGGTAATCCCTACCACCTGGGGCCATGGTGATGTCCCAGCCTGAAACACCACTGAGGGCTATATCTGGGTCCATGGCTATGCAGTGGAAGGGCTGATATTACCACAAGAGAACAATGGAAATGTCCCTAGTCAGGGCAGCCTCTGGGGACCACATGGATGTCCGGGGCTGTGCATAATCAACCCCACCCTTCATTGGTTGCAATGCTATGGATAGCTGGCCCTATCCTTCACCAGCTGTAACACTCAGAAGAGTGGGCCCTACACCTCATCTGGGCAACACAGTGGAGTTGGCCCTGAAGGTGTAGGGCCAGATGAGCCAGAAGAGTGTATGGAAAAGAACTATCCCAGCCCCTTTCAGGCTGCAGCATTTTTAAGAGTGGGCCCCACACCTAGACTGGGCAGCACACTGGAGCTGGCCCTGGAAGTGTGGGTGTAGGTGAGCTGGCATGAGAGTATAAAAGCAGGTGAGCTGACCCTTCTCATGCCAATGGTGACATTGGGTGACCTAGCTGGAGCAGAATTGGAAATGTCACTCTGTGGAAATGTCACTCTAGGAAAGCTGGCTGGTTGACCAGCTAGGTTACTATGCAAGCCCAGATACAGGGCTCTGATTTGCCTACCCTAAAATCTATATCATCTGCACACATTCAATCCTGCTGATCTAAAGCTACACGATCCCCATGACACAGAACTACAACAGATAACTGGGAGAAAGCCCAGTGAGGATCCAATATTGATGGTGTCACAGAAGCCAGAGATCTCAAACCAGACTAATGATTTGCAAGTGAAAAATGTGTAGGCTGACTGATATACTGTGGGACATACTATGATATACTATAGCTTTCATGATGAGATGTTTTCTATGCTTTGAGGTTTGTGTGTGTCCATGTGTCTGTGTGTTTAATGTTGTGGAGGGAGAGTTTCAAGGGCAAAAAGCAGATATGAGGGGACGGGGAGATAAGCAGGACTGAGATGCATGATGTGCAACTCACAAAGAATCAATAAAATGTTAAAAGAAAAAGGGTTGCCACAGTCATGGTGTCCCTTCACACAATAGAAACCTTACCTAAGACAACACACACCAGCTGGGGAACAAACATTCAAATATATGATTCTATGGGAGATATTTCTCATTCAAACGACTACATTCCACCTGCGTAGGCTCATGGCCATATCATAATGCAAAGTGTACCTGGTACAACTTCAAAAGTGGCCTTAGTCTTTAACAGTCTCAACATTGTTCAAAAGTCCAAAATCTCTTCTGAAACTCACAACAACCCCTTAACTGTGACCCCTTGTAAAATCAAAAATCAAACACATACTTCTGATATATATAACATACATTAACATTTCAAAAAATAAATAGTGAGGAAAGACTATAACAAAGCAAGACAAAAACCCAGGAGGGGAAACACAGATTCTTAACTCCATGTTCAGTGTCTGTGCCTTCAGTTTCAAAGGGTTAAAATTGTTCTGCCATTACATCATTTCTGCCTGTAATATACATCTCATGCTTAGGCTGGTTCTATTGTCTGTATATAGCTCTCTTTGACAGATATCTCATAGCTCTGATATCTCCATAATCTCCAGGCCTCCAAGGTAACCCAATCTTCAATTCACAATTTCAGGTAATGGTCTCTCACAGCCTCCTTGCAGAGATACTAACTCTGCTACACATTTCTTGACTTCAGTGGCTCTTAGAAACCACAAAGGAAGATCCTACGTAATTTTCAATATGGCATTTTTCTTTTCTCCAAAACTAGTATCAAGTACATAACACTGCCAAGGTCTATTCAACAGCCTTCTGATAGATCAACAGGTCAGACAATATCCTTTCCAAGTAAGTAGTTCAGTTGGTCTGAGCCTCTTCCAGGAAACCAGCTGATCTTTGCTTCTTCCAGATAACTTGTCTCTTCTGCCTCTTCTAGACATTTTAGCTAGACTGAGTGTCTTCTAGGTAGTTCAACTTGTTTCTGTTTGTTCCAGGTGGCTCAGCTAATTTCTGCTTCTTCCAGGTAACTTGCTGATTTGAGCCTCTTCTAGATAGCTTACCTGGTTTCCATCTCTTTCAGGTTGCTTGGCTTCTCTGAATCTCTTCATAATCGTTACTGATAATGAATGCTTGGAGATAGAGAAGCCTGTGAGTCTGATTAGTTTCAAGGACTTATTGAAGTTTTTGAGTTGTTTTCTTCCTAGCCTCTCTGTTTCCCTGAAGGATAAGATGTTTTATCTATAGTTATTAAATCCTGTGTTTTATTGAGCTCTCTTATAGGGTGGTATGTTTTGCCACTCTTTAGAACATCCTGCGTTTTAATAGTAAGCTTACCTCCAAAATGGAAGGTTTTATCTAAGAGGAAACTGCTACACAAGACTTTTTGCCCCTTGGAAACTCCATGAATCAAGCCATGTATGCATTACTCTCATTTTTGTCTGCCATTCTCTTATCACAATGGACCATTAAGATCTGATGAAAGCTTTCAACTCTTTTTCTCATCCTGAGTTCCAAAGTGCAGTAATGTGAATGAAAATGGAGCACACATGTTTGAATACTTGGTTCCTAGTTAGTGAAATTGTTTGGAAAGCATTAGGTGTAATTTTGTTGAAGGAGGAATAGTGCCATTTCCAGAAAGTTCTTTGTCCTCTTCTTACAGTTTTAGATGTAAGTTTTCAGTTGTTCTTACTACCCTGTCTTCATTCCACCCTCATGGACCTTGTGTAAGCCCAATTAAAAATTTTCTTTAATAAGATACCTTGGTCATAGTGTTTTCTCATGGTAACAAACAGTAACTAATATACAAAGTCCTCCATATTTCTCAATAAAGGGGGGAGGGGAGAGATTCAGGCTCTTTGCAGTAACAACTGCTTTTTCTGGTATGAATTTCTTTCTGAATTGGTTGTTTTTCTTTTGCTGTGATAAAATGCTTTGACCAAAACAACTTAAATAAGAAAGATTATTTTGGCTTACAGTTCCAGGTTTAGAGTTCATAATGTCTGGGAGGCAGGAGTAGGAATATGGCTGATCACTTCATCCATACACAGGAATCCAAGTAAGAACTGGAAATGGGGTGAGCCTAAACATCTTCAAGTCTTCCCTCAAAAGTTTCACAAATAGCCACCTGGGTCACAGACACTGAGCCAGCAGAGGTGAGCTGGCTGAAAATTATAGAGGCCTTAAAGGAGGAAAATAAAGCTCTCAAAGTAGCACAGAAAAATACAAACAGGTGAAAGAATTAAACAAATCCCATAAGAAATATAGGAAAATAAAATCAAACAGAAGAAGGGAATGAATAAAACTGTTCAAGACCTAAAAATGGAACCAGAAGCAATAAAGAAAATACAATCTGAGAAATTCTGGAGATGAAAAACCTAAGGAAGAGACAGAAACTACAGACATAAGCATCACCAACAGAAAACAAGAAATGGAAGACAGAATCTCAGGGGTAGAAGATATGATTGAATAAATCAATACATCAGTCAAAGAAAATATTAAATCTAAAAGTTCCTGACACATAGTATCCAAGAAATCTGGTACACTATGAAAAGACCAAACCTAAAAATAATAGGAATAGAAAGAAAAGACTCCCAGCTCCTAGGCCCAGAAAATATTTTCAGCAAAATTATAGAAGAAAACCTCCCCAACCTAAAGAAAGAAAGGCCTATAAACATGCAAGAAGCTTACAGAACACCAAATAGATTGGACCAGAAAAGAAAATCACCCAGCCAAATAATACTAAAACATTAATGGTGCAGAACAAAGGGAGACTATCAAAAGCTACAAGGAAAAAGGCCAAGTCACATATAAAAGCAAATCTATCAAAATTACACCTGACTTCCCATCAGAACTCTAAAATCCAGAAGGACCTTACAGACACTAAGAGACCACAGATGTCAGCCCTGACTACTATACCGAGCAAAAATTTTAATCACTATGGAGGGAGAAAAATACAAGATATTTCAGAACAAAAACAAATTTAAACAGTAGCTATCCTCAAACCCAGTCCTAAAGATACGAGAAGGAAATCTCCAACCCAAGGGGGCCAGCTACACCCAGGAAAACACAGGTAATAAATAATCCCACAGCACCAAACCAAAAGAAAGGAACCACACACAGACATGCACACTACCACCACCAACATCAAAATAACAGGAATACAACAACGTCATTAATATCTCTCAACATCAATGGAATTATTTCCCCAATAAAGACACAGGTTAACAGAATGGATACAGAAACAGGACTCATCTTTCTGCTGCATACAAGAAATATACCACAGCAATAAAGGTAGACATTACCTCAGAGTAAAGGGCTGGATAAAGGTTTTCCAAGAAAATGAACCTATTAAGCAAGCTGTAGTAGCCATTCTAATATCTTATAAAATACACTTTCAACCAAAATGGAGATGGGGAAGGACACTTCATACTCATCAAAGGAAAAATCCACCAAGATCACTTCTCAATTCTGACCATCTATGCCCCAAATGCAAGTGTATCCACATATGTAAAAGAAACATTACTAAAGCTTAAATCACACACTGAACCCTACAGCATAAAAGTGGGAAACTTCAACATCCCACTCTCTCCAATAGACA